TAGAAAAAATAAAATAAAAGAAGGATATATGAGAAAAAAGRTGAATAGGTTTCTAACATTTAGGAGAAGCGATATCATCAATCTTGGTTTTTCATTTACACATATTAGTAATCTAAAATATACTTTTTATTCGCAAGTAATGTCAGAGGTATCTTCAATCATTATGAAAATTCCATTGTCTCTGCGATTAATATATTCCCTAGAAAAGAAATGGGTAGTCAAATTGAAAAAAGAAAACCAGTAAAAAAACATATTTAAGTTTGTTGAGGCCACATCATAGTTTATAGTACTTTCAAGATTTCATCATCGGACCATTATTGCCATAATATGTTTTTCCTTTACACATATTAGTTTTCTCAAAATATACTTGAAAAAAGATAACCATTAAAAAAATGTTGAAGTTTGTTGAGGCTACATCATAGTTTGTAGTATTTTCAAGATTTCATCATCGAACCATTATTGTCATAACATTCCATCATCGACCATGTTGTCATCAAAACTCTAAAAGCGTTGTCAAGAACAAATTATCGGTTTCATTGAGAAAATTTAAGAAAATTATAGAAGAGAAAAGTAAAAAAACWAAATCCCAAAATCCTAACAAAAATAAGAAGAAATGCATATCTGAATTAGTCTTGTCGAATAAACTTAAAAATAGATTTGTTGAAAAAGAATAAAATTTATGAAATAAAAAACAATTAAGTGATAGAGATGGAGAAAAAAAAATTGAAAGATAAACAATTCATGAAGAAAAGCTAAGAAAAATAAAAGGATTGTGTTAAATGAAAAATCTTTATAGAAATTATAATGAAAATTAGAAAAAATAAAGATTAAAATAAGGATAAATGAGAAAAAAAATAATTTCTAACCTTTAGGAGAAATCATGTCATCAATCTTGGTTTTTCCTTTGTGAGAATATTTTTAAGAACATAATCAATTGTTTCTTGATAGCAATTTATGTCAAACTATATCAAGAGGAAGAGATTGAGAAATAAAGAGATGAARAGATAAAAAGTTGGAGAAGGTAAATCAATTGCAATAATAAATAAAATAAATATCTATTAAGAAGAAGTTGAATAGTCTAGGGGGTTAAACTTATCTTAAAATGCTTATTAAAAAGTTGAATAATTTGGGAGGTTAAACTTAGTTGGATGCAAAATTACCAAATGATCTCATCTATTATGAAATATACAATTTGCTTGTAGGGGTATAATAGTCTTTAACTTAATTAGTATTTTAAAAAACAAAAAAAGGAGAAAAAAGATAAATAAGCTTCTAGATTTTAGAAGAAGCCACGTCATACATAGTGGTTTCTTCTTTAATATATATATATATATAGATTAAGGACTTCAATTGACTGCAATCTAAACTATATGAGTTGAATGAGTCAACGATATAATAAAAAATGAGAAGTACCTTTCTCGCCAATATAACCACGCTTACGAAGACCTTTCTTGGTAGATCGACCAACACTACAAATCGAATCGATGTTCTTACGGGAAAACCCTTTCTCGTTATTGAATACTAACAACGTCGCCGGAGCTCCGGTGTTTGTTATGTCCTTTGACGTGATCACAAATTCCAATGATGGATCAACCCCTTCCGGATACTCGTTATCCTCCGCGTTCTGTGAAACAAATTTCAACCAAACCACAACTTTTAAAAAAAATCCAGTCTCGAAGCATCGTTGATCAATCATCAACCTCAACCTTACAGATCTATAAATTAACCAGTTAATCCAAAWTTTTCCGAAAAACCAGAAATAAATTRTTAGCAGAAATGCAAATGCATGTCATTTGTTAATAAAATTTGCGGTATCCTACCAAAAAAGCAAGAATCGATCAAATTCCAAAACAAAAAAGCAAGAACCGATCAAGTTACGAAACCAAAAGGCAATGATTGATCAACCACGATGAACTAAATACAGAGATTTAAAATCAAAGACATTACTCTTAAAAACAAAAAATGTGTAGTGAAAACAGCGTGTGTGAAACAAAACAATAGATAATGGACGATATATGCTTATATAAAAACCTGGATTAGTTCCATGAAGAAGTGGACGTCTTTAGCGTAAAGCTCAGCAGACAGATTCTTAACCGCCTGATGAAGATCCTCCGTTAAGGGATTCGGGTCTCCACCGATGGAAAACTTCGTCCTCCTTATCTCCTCCACATGTTCCCTCGCCGTCGTAGTCGTGGACGCCATTACCGATGAACAACCAACAATGCACACCTCGTCTTCCTAATAACTCGAAGTTAAAACAAACAATGAACACACAGACATAAACCTTACCGTTGGACATTGAATATATACTGAGTGAGAGAGAGGAGCTTGGTGAGGAAGGAATGGATGGTGATTGGAGCAACGCAAAAGAGCGGGGAACCGACTGTAGTCTTCGTGTTCGTCTACAATGCTGAGTCTCTTTGGGATCTTTTTCCATAGCTTTTTGATAAATTACAGTTTTGGTTCCTTTTATATAAGTTAATTACATGTCAACCCTTCTAAATTTCTTTTTTCTATTTTGACCTAGGTTTTTCATCAAGTTGTAAACTAGTTGAGTCGAGTCAAGTAACAGTTGAAATCCAATAGATTTAATTGGATCGGATCAGATACAATCATCTATTCTATGATAGATTTTGTTATCTGATCCAATCCAACTAACATTAAATATTCGATCTAATCTAATCAATATATAATTAGATTGAATCAGATTAGATCGGCTTCATTCAATGGATATCACCATTGGATGAGACTAGATTCAACTGATATTTTGATTCAATTTTCAATCAACCGGCCGATTCAATTCGGATGTTAAAATTCTGGATCCTATCCAATTACCAATGGACATCCGATTATGATTGGTCGGTCTAATTTCGATTGGAAGGATGAAATTGGATAAGATAACTTTCTGCACGTTCCCAAAGTTGAGTCAAACCCGAACTCGGCAAGAACTGGATAGTTAGAAATAAAAAAAAAACAGTTTTTTTAATTTTCATTCACATTAATTATTACTTAATACCTCTAAACAAACAGTTGGTTGGGAAAGAGAGAGAAAGAAGGGAATAGCTTTGTGAGGAAGGAAGGGTTGGTGATTGATAGAGAGGAAAGTGTTGTACGGAGGTTTACCTTTTTTTTTTACCACGAAAAGAATAATGGACTTTTAATTTAAAAAAATATTTAATATACATTTATATGTCATCTATACTATATTATAAAGAATTTAACAAAACCTTTAAAAATTATTAAAATTTAAGATTACAAATAAATTTTACGTAAATACAACTTATTAACACTTTATTTATAAATTCGTATAACTAAATGTAGATGAACATAATCAAATACAAGATAACATATCATTTAAAATATAANATATAACCAACATTACAATGCTGGCATGGTCTTTCGTTAAACCTTATCTGGTAGCCGTTACTGAAAATGTATGGCTGAGCAGTTATCAGAAATACGCTTTTAAATCCAATACCTGAGGAAAACGTAGACAACCAATTAGCAGTCGCAAACAGCTAAATGAAATAAATATAGCAGATCATCAACAGGCTTACGATTCCATTTTACCACAATTAAGGACTTCAATTGACTGCAATCTAAACTATATCAGGGCCGTCCCTGGGGAGGGTGGGTCGGGCGTACGTTCAGGGCCCATAAAAATTAGGGGTCCAAATTTTTTTAATATATATAATAGTAGTTCAAAAATATTAGTAAAAAGAAACAAAAAAAATAGTATCTAATATGATAAGAAAAGATTTTGGTACTACATTAACTACTAAAGACCCAAACATGTATGAATTAAATATATTGAAGAAAAAAATATATAAAGAGGTTAATTTGTCGTTCATTATATAATATTATTTAATGTTTTTTAAGTTCTTTTTATCTAAAACCGACATCTAAAACTACTCGCTTCAAAAACTTTGATATATTCTCCATAATTTATCTCTCATCGACTTTTTGGATTGTTCCATTCTTGTGTGAATTCTATTTTTATATTAGAATATGATAGATTTTCTTGTTATTAGCTAATAAAAACCCCTATCTTTTGAAAATATTACCAACCATATAAGACGGTACAATTTATATCTATATTTAGAATAATAAAAACTATAATAGTTTTTTCATAGTTGTTCTTTATTATCTAATATTGAGTGTATAAATCGTATGTACTATTCTATATCTAAAAGATGAGTAAAATCTTAAACTATCACCAACATAAGTTTTTTAATTTATATAATCGATAATTATAGAAAAGTTTGTTTTAACCCTAACCCTATGTTTTTGAATCTTCTTTTACATAGGAAAGAAAGGAAAACAATAGAGGAAGAAAAGGAAAAAAATTATATCAAATTTTATTTTTATTTCATTATTTTTCCTTCCGCTCTCGTCTCTATTAAAAACACAAATAAAAAACTTTATTTTTCTTGCTTTCTTTTATTTTTCTTTTCCTTTTTTATTTTTTTCTTTCTTCCCAAATTCGAAAACATAATATAAAAGTTTAAAATGGTATTAATATTCCTAAATTCGAAAACATGATATAAAAGTTTAAAATGATGTTAATCTTTCCAAATTCGAAAACATAATATAAAAGTTTAAAATGATGTTAAAAAACATTAACATGGGAACATGAAAAACCAACCTATTTATATTGATTTCCATAGTGTCACTCGAAAATAAGAAGAATTGACTTTGTAACCTCAAATGATGTCATTCTATGTACCAAAAGTATATCATAAAATGTTTTTGATGATGAAACAAATTACCGATACTACATAAAAATGTTCTATTAGATAACATTAATTTAGAAATGAGTACTGGTTGATTTTGCGTCCAAAAATACTTGGAAAAACGATTTTATATGAATTCAATATTATTTTTAATGATAAAAACAATATATATTAAAAAAATATCGTATTTATCGAGGCCCCTTCTACTTCTCGTCCAGGGCCTAAAAAAATGTCAGGAACGGGCCTGAACTATATGAGCTGAATGAGTCAACAATATAATAAAAAATGAGAAGTACCTTTCTCGCCAATATAACCACGCTTACGAAGACCTTTCTTGGTAGATCGACCAACACTACAAATCGAATCGATGTTCTTACGGGAAAACCCTTTCTCGTTATTGAATACTAACAACGTCGCCGGAGCTCCGGTGTTTGTTATGTCCTTTGACGTGATCACAAATTCCAATGATGGATCAACCCCTTCCGGATACTCGTTATCCTCCGCGTTCTGTGAAACAAATTTCAACCAAACCACAACTTTTAAAAAAAATCCAGTCTCGAAGCATCGTTGATCAATCATCAACCTCAACCTTACAGATCTATAAATTAACCAGTTAATCCAAAWTTTTCCGAAAAACCAGAAATAAATTRTTAGCAGAAATGCAAATGCATGTCATTTGTTAATAAAATTTGCGGTATCCTACCAAAAAAGCAAGAATCGATCAAATTCCAAAACAAAAAAGCAAGAACCGATCAAGTTACGAAACCAAAAGGCAATGATTGATCAACCACGATGAACTAAATACAGAGATTTAAAATCAAAGACATTACTCTTAAAAACAAAAAATGTGTAGTGAAAACAGCGTGTGTGAAACAAAACAATAGATAATGGACGATATATGCTTATATAAAAACCTGGATTAGTTCCATGAAGAAGTGGACGTCTTTAGCGTAAAGCTCAGCAGACAGATTCTTAACCGCCTGATGAAGATCCTCCGTTAAGGGATTCGGGTCTCCACCGATGGAAAACTTCGTCCTCCGTATCTCCTCCACATGTTCCCTCGCCGTCATAGTCGTGGACGCCATTACCGATGAACAACGAACAATGCACACTTCGTCTTCCTAATAACTCGTAGTTAAAACAAACAATGAACACAGACATAAACCTTACCGTTGGACATTGAATATATACTGAGTGAGAGAGAGGAGCTTGGTGAGGAAGGAATGGATGGTGATTGGAGCAACGCAAAAGAGTGGGGAATCGACACTAGTCTTCGTCTTTGTCTTCGTCTTCAATGATGAGTCTCCTGGGTATCTTTTTCCATAGCTTTTTGATAAATTACAGTTTTGGTCCCTTTTATATGAGTTAATTACATGTCAACACCAAGGTTTTTCATGTGGTTAGAAACTAGTTGAGTCGAGTCAAGTAACAAGTGTCTTTATCAGTTGAAATCCAATGGAATTAATTGGATCGGATCCGATATAATCATCTATTAGATGATAGATTTTGTTATCTGATCCGATCCAACTAACATTAAATATCTGATACAATCTAATCAGTATATGATTGGATTGAATCGACTTCATCTAATGGATATCACCATTGGATGACACTAGATTCAACTGATATTTTGATTCAATTTTCAATCAACCGACCGATGTTAAAATTCTGGATCCTATTCAATCACCAATGAAATAACAAAACAGTTTCTTTTATTTTTATTCAGATTAGTCGTTACTTAATACCTCTAAATTTGTTTTATGTGTATGTGTATGTGTATGTGAAAGAGAAAGAAGGGATTAGCTTTGGGAGGAAGGTAAGGTTGGTGATTGGTAGAGAGGAAAGTGTTGTACGGAGGTTTTACCACGAAAAGAATAATAGATTTTTAATGGAATATTAACTTTATAAAATATTTTACATATTATGAATATAAATGTGTTAAAGCATGATATTTATAACATAATATGTCATTAAACTCAAATAATACAAATATATATATTTGATTAATTTCTGTTTTAATATTTTATGTTTTATCAATAAGAGTTGGATTTCGATGAATTAAAATGAGAAAGACACTCTTTTAAAGTGAAATTTTTCAATCCTTACCGAATGTCAAAAGAAAGATCAATTCTCTACTAAAATACAATTCATAAATAGGCATAATGACAAATTCAAATACCTTTCTCATAAGATAATTTGCCCTTTATTCTTTAAAACATACAAATCTATTTGATACATAAATTGATAACATTCAAAGCAAAAAAGACCCGTTTTTATGATCGTTTTACAAGAAAAAAAAAAGTGAAATATTTCGTCTTGGTCGAGAAGCATGTGTGAGTACATAAGGTATTTACGCAGGGCCGTCCCTGGGGGAGGGCAGCACAAGCGCACGTCCAAGGCCCAAATTTTTCTATTAAAATACAATAGTAGTCTAAAAGAATTTAATAAATTTAAAAAACTCAACAAATTGTATCATATAATAAAAGGCAAAAAGAATTTAGTAGATAATAAGGGTCCAAAAATATATCGACTAATTACATTGGAGAAGAAAATTAAAAAAAAAATTGGTCATTCATTATATGCTATTATTTATTGTCTCTCTAATTATTTTTTTATCTCCAACAAGGTCCAATAATATTGGTTTTTGCTATCTCTATATGCTTGATTGTTTTCGTGCTTCAACAATTCAACGTTAATATCACGTGCTTGCTATTGCTATATATTTTTGTTGGATATTTTTATCATTTTCTGCTTCTATTAACTATTGCTATTTGGTTATGTCGTTCTAATTGTTTTTGTTGACTATTGTTATCTATTTTTGCTTCTACATAAAATATTTTTTTTATTATTTGACAATCAATATACTATCCTTATAATTTATGACGTGTTTTATGGTTTTGTGATTAATCAATAAATTTTTTCTACTAGATATATTTATTTATGTCTCTTATATATGTCATGTTCCATAAACTTTTGATCTTAATATCTTATTTTAGTTGAGCAAAAAAGAAGGAAAGTAGAATTTAAGTATTTTCATCATTTGTTTAACTTATGTATCTTTTATTGGTTTCCACCACACAACAATATTCTATTTAAGTGTTCAAACAATTATTTGTTGAGTTTGCATATTATATGTTTAATTCATTATTTATTTTTATTGGATCTCAATAGATCATCTTCTCTTTCATATTCTTATTGATCCTCTTTTGTCTACTTATCTAGAAAACATTGATAATCTTCTTTATTATTAATATCTCATAGACCTTCACGATTACTTCATTCATACGGATTCTCTTTTTGTATCAAAATAACACATATTTCTTGTTAATTTATCAATCATAGTTTTTATAATCTTGGTTTCAAATTACCTAATAAGAAGTACGTAAATTTAAGTATTCTCTTATATATCTATAATAAAGATAAATAAGATTTATTATCTCAGTAAATTATTAGCATTTTTTGTACTCAATTTTATATTAATAAAAAACATTTATTCGTACTTACCGATGGTCGCTACAAGAAAAGTGAGCTTTGACGATTCGTCTTTTAGCGACGACATGTTTTCGCCACAAGTTATAGCGACGACATGTTGTTATATACTATTTCTAATGATAAATGGACTTTTAACGACAACAAAAGTCGTTGCTAAAAGCCTTGTTTCTTGCGGTGGGCCCTGTTTTTACGTTCGCCCAGGGCCCATAAAATGTCAGGAACGGGCCTGTATTTACGACCCTTGGATTTTGATACTTAGATGCAAACGCACATACAATATGACATATTCTTGGATTCATAAGGATGCAAAAGTGACGTACAAAAAGACCATTTTCATGATTTGCAAAACATTAAAAATTAAGTTCATTACAATAATAGAGATAGATTGATAGATATATAAGAGAAGATATCAACCCCAGGAAGCTCAGGTAAATCAACCCTTTGAACCAATGCATTCTCCTGCTTTTAAAACAGAAAATGTAAGTGAAAAATAGAGTTATAGAAATTGTAGCCATAAATTTAACGTAAAACAAACCTGTTAGTTAAGAAGAGAGAGTAGAGAGGTAGTTGTGATCCTCCACAAAGACTTGCAAATTCTTGGTCTTCATAAGGAAATCAACTGCTTCCTCATCGAACTCCACCAGAAAACCCAATCGGATGAGTTCAGAAAGCTCTCCCACGAACTCTTCATTCTCCCACAACACACCTTTCGCTACTACTTCACCAAAATGAGAACCATATTCCATTACATCTTTGTATCCTGCATTACATCTCTCCAACTTCTGCATAAACAATTTCGACTTCTGCTTGTCCCAACGTATCATTCGATTCACTTCCACTTCCACCACATCTCCACAAGATAACGACAGCCGATAGCCAACCGTCGTCGGCTTTAACGTCTCCAGAGCGTCTACCGCCACTAAACGGCTAACGGCTTCGTGCCTCTTNTTAAGACCAAAATATTAAATCTAAATCTAAATTAAAATTTTGAATCAAAGAAATTGTACCAAAAAACGAAAACTTTTAAATAGTTAATTTAATATTAATATTGATATATATTTTAAAATTTATGATATCTTTAAATTTATTTTTATTCAAAAGGTAAAAACATTGTTTTTCTAAAAACCACATAAACCATATTATATCCACAAAAACAAAAAATAAAACGAAACATTAAAATGAATATATTGTATTACACGAGTACTCTTCTAGTGACTATAAATATGTCTGCTTTTGTTAAGCATGATATTTGTTTTGATTTATAACATAATATGTGATTGTAAGTTCTCATTAATTATTTTATCTTTTTTAAAACAATGTTTTCATTAAATCCTTTAACTGAAATAAAATAAAACTTTGATTATTTTTTGTTGTATAAACTGTAATAGTAGAAAAACAAATTATACGATCAAAACTTCATGTTCTATCATTAAGAGTTCGATTTCGGTGTGAAAAATATAAGAAAAGACACCCCCTTAAATTCAATAATTGATTGTCAAAAAAAAAATCTACCAAAACAAATCTCTATTAAAACAGTATTCATAGGTGGGCATGCATATATGTTCACAAATTCAGATATAATTTGCCTTTAAACATTAAAACATACCATTTAATTTGATACATAATATGATATTATTAGATGCAAATACGCTTACTTTTTGCCTTTAAAAAGGAAAAGGAAAAAAACATACTTTTTTTCTCCTACCAACTTCATTGTTCTAATAATTAACTTCATTTTATAGACATTTTTTAAGCCAAATTCTTATTTTAGCCAAATGCCATTTTTCACGTTAAAGGGGAGAGGGCAGGGGGACTCTTTGGATCCTTTAGTAAAAATTTCTATTTTCTCTCAAAATCAAGTTTACACAAAATGTATAAAGCATTTGCCTTAAGTCCATTAATATAGAAATTCAATTAAAAAAAAGGCTAAAAATAGAATTCGGTTGATAAAATTGACTATTTTAGTCAATTTCCCACATGTATACTGTCATGTCCCAAAACGAGTGTACACTTTCAAATGTATCAACCTTCTAGTTCTACTCTTCTTAATTGTGAAAAGGAAAGTTTCTGAGAAATATAAGAAAAGACACCCCGATGATTCAGTCCTAATTAAATATCCAAAAAAAAATATCTACCAAATCAAGTCTATTAAAATACAAATCATAGATGGATATGATCACGAATTCGGATATCTTCTTATGAGAAAAATTGCCTTTTAACATTAAAACATACCATTTTATTTGATGCATAAAATGATAACATTCAAAGAAGCAAAAAAAAAAAAAAACCCGATTTTATAATCATTTCACATTCAATCATATCATGTCACGTTTTTATATTTTATAACAAAAAAGAAAATGTGAAATAGTTAGTCTTGATCGAGAAGCATGTACGTGACTACGTAGAGTATTAACGCCCCTTTGATTTTGATACTTGGATACAAATGCGCAAACAATATGACATATTCTTTGATTCATATGGATGCAAAAGTGACGTACAAAAAGTATGAACCATGTCAGAGAGGTTTAGCAAGAAAAGACCATTTTCATGATTTGCAAAACATTCAAAATTAAGCTCATTACAATAATAGAGATAGATAGATATATAAGAGAAGATATCAACCCCAGAAAGCTCAGGTAAATCAACCCTTTGAACCACTTCACAGCATGCATTCTCCTGCTTTTAAAACAGAAAATGTAAGTGAAAAATGGAAAATAGAGTTATAGAAATTGTAGCCATAAATTTAACGTAAAACAAACCTGTTTGTTAAGAAGAGAGAGTAGAGAGGTAGTTGTGATCCTCCACAAAGACTTGCAAATTCTTGGTCTTCATAAGGAAATCAACTGCTTCCTCATCGAAC